TGCTTACAACACAGATAGACCCTGCCAATGAGGAAGAAAAGGAAAGAGTCCACCTTCCCATTTGATTGAGATGTCCAGGAAACTCATTAGCCACCTTGTATTTTTTTTAAAGATCAGAATAAATAATTTAAATAAAATATTAACAACAATGAAACCATACATTATTGAATTATAATGATGAAGAAGCTTTGCCCTCTAGAAGAGGTAAGAAGAAAATTCATGTCCTTCCCTTCTTTTTAGAGAACTTAGCAGAATGTCTGGTACATAGTAGGCATATTATATTCTTTGAAGAGGTGGGGAACTAAATACTACTACAGAATACTGCATATATTGTCAGGTCCAACTGATTGTTTTAGTTGGTTTTGCTGAACCAGCTGTTGTTAAACCCAGAGGGCGCTAGGAAGCACTGTGATCCCTCACTCTCCACTAAATGAACCCTTTCAGCTTTGTCCTCATGACTGCTCAGATGAGATTCAATCCCAAGGGAGACTGAGTTCTCTTTGGATTTTTACATCCTGACCCCAGAGCCCTGGGGAAATTTTCTTTCTTTTTTTTCTCTATTAATTTATTTATTTTTAGTTTTCAACAATCACTTCCATAAGCTTTTGAGTTTTAAACTTTCTCCCCCTCCTTTCCCATCTCCCTCCTGAAGACAGCATGCAATCTGATATAGGCTCTACATATATATTCCTATTAAACATATTGTCACATTAGTCATGTTGTGAAGCAGAATTAGAACCAATAAGAGGAACCACAAGAAAGAGGAAACAAAACAAAACAGAAGAAAATAAAGAGCAAATAGTAAGTTTCAATCTGCATTCAAACTCCATAGTTCTTTCTCTGGCTGCGTACAGCATTTTCCATCATGAGGCTTTTGGAGATGTCTTGGATCCTTGCATTGCTGAGAAGGGCTAAGTCTATCAAAGTTAGTCATCGTGCAATGTGGCTGTTACTGTGTACAATGTTCTCCTGGTTCTGCTCGCTTCACTCAGCATCAGCCCATACAAGTCTTTCCAGATTTTCTGAAGTCCACTTGCTCATCATTCCTTATAGCACAATAGTATTCCATTACATTCATATACCATATACATATACACATGCACATACATATATACATACACATACATATGTATGTATATGTGTGTGTGTGTATATATATATATATATGTATATATATATATGTATATATATATATGTATATATATATATATATATATATATATATATATATATAAAAACACAACTTGTTCAGCCATTCCCTAATTGATGGGCATCCCTTCAATTTCCAATTTTTTCCTACCACAAAAAGAGCTGCTATAAATGTTTTTGTACATGTGGGTCCTTTTCGCATTTTTATGATCTCTTGGGGATACAGCCCTGGAAATGCTGTTGTTGGGTCAAAGGCCATGCACATTGTTACAGCCCTTTGGGCATAGTTCCAAATTGCTCTCCAAAATGCTTGAATCAGTTCACAACTCACCAACAATACATTAGTGTTCCAATTTTCCCATATCTTCTCCAACATTTATCATTTTCCTGTTTTATCATGTTGGTCAATATGATAGGCATGATATGGTACCTCAGAGCTTTGATTTGCATTTCTCATAGTGATTTAGAGCATTTTTTTCATATGACTATAGATAGCTTTAATCTCTTCATCTGAAAATTGCCTATTCATATCATTTGACCATTTATCAATTGGGGAATGATCTGTATTCTTATAAATTTGACTTAATTCTCTATATATTTTAGAAATGAAGCCCTTATCAGGGCCCTAGTTGTAAAAATTCTTTCCCAGTTTTCTGCTTCCCTCCTAATCTTGGTTGCATTGACTTTGTGCAAAAACTTTTCAATTTAATATAATCGCAATTATCCATTTTGCATTTCATAATGCTCTCTCTTGTTTGATCATAAATTCTTCGTCCTCAATAAATCTGACAGGTAAACTATTCCTTGCTCTCCCAGTTTGCTTATAATATCAGCCTTTATAGCTAAATCATGTACCCATTTTGACTTTATCTTGCTATATGGTGTGAGATGTTGGTCTATGCCTAGTTTCTGCCATGCTATTTTCCAATTTTCCCAGTAGTTTTGATTAAATAGTGAGTTCTTATCACAAAAGCTGGAGTCTTTGGGTTTATCAAATAGTAGATTACTATAGTCATTGATTATTATGTCTTGTTTACCTAACTTATTCCACTGATCCACCACTCTATTTCTCAGCCAGTACCAAGTAGTTTTGATGGTTGCTGCTTTATAATACAATTTAAGATCTGGTACAGTTAGACCACCTTCCCTTGCATTTATTTTTTATTAATTCTCTTGATGTTCTGGACCTTTTGTTCTTCCAGGTGAATTTTATTAATATTTTTTTCTAGCTCTACAAAGTGATTTTTTGGTAGTTTGATTGGTATGGCATGGAATAAGTAAATTAATTTAAGTAGAATTGTCATTTTTATTATATTAGCTCAGCTTACCCATGAGCAAATGATATTTTTCCAATTGTTTAGGTCTGACTTTATTTGTGTGAAAAGTGTTTTGTAATTGTGTTCATAGAGTTCCTGAGTTTGTTATGGCAAGCAGACTCCCAAATATTTTATAATGTCTACAGTAACTTTAAATGGAATTTCTCTATCTCTTGCTGTTGGGCTTTGTTAGTAATATGTAGAAATGCCAAAGAGTTATGTGAGATTATTTTACATCCTGCAACTTTGCTAATTTTGTTTATTATTTCAAGTAGTTTTTTACTTGATTCTCTAGGATTCTCTAAGCATAGCATCATATCCTCTGTGATGAGGTCTAGAGGGTTAGGGGTGCTGGAACCCCAAAATTACAACACACTGGTCCTGCCTGAAAGAATTTGACCCAAACCTTCTTTCAGCAAAGACAAGGTTTATTAAAGATCTGCCATATTGGCCAAACTCTTAAGGAATCTGAGCACCTGTGTGAGATAATGGCTAGATTGTAAAAATCTAAGCAGTGGCTAGATTATAAGAATCCTGGTGTCTTAATGGAGACAAGATGGACCTTATACATAGAAAGACTATGGGAGGGATCTAGGAGTGCCCAAGTAGTCCCATGAGGTAATAGAACTCCAGGAACCTGGACTGGAGGCCAAGGGAGAATGGAGCCTAGATAGGATTAAGGGTGGGAAGTGGCCAGGGGCCATAAGGAAGTAAGACAATGGAGGGGTAGGCTAGATTAAGAGTAACAGAGAATTAGGAGATTGGGTATAGCCACAGTGAAAGGCCAGTTGATGGGATTATAGCCTCAGGCCAATGCCAGAGATCTGGCCAGGTGGGAAAGTCCAGGGTTTTTCCTTTTTGGGGTCTAGATCCCATCCTCATCATCTGCAAAGAGTGATAGCTTTGTCTCTTCTTTGCCTATTCTAATACCTTCAATTTCTTTTTCTTCTCTTAATGCTAAAGCTAATGTTTCTAGTACCATATTGAACAACAGTGGTGATAATGGACATCCTTGTTTCATGCCCCCATCTTATTGAAATGCTTCCAGCTTATCCCCATTACATATAATGGTTGCTGATGACTTAGGTAGGTGCTCCTATCATTTTGAGGAAGACTCCCCTTATTCTTATGCTGTCTAGTGTTTTTAATAGGAATGGGTGTTGTATTTTGTCAAAAGCTTTTTCTGCTTTTGACAATTATCTATTGAGATAATCATGTGGTTTCTGTTAGTTTTGTTGTTGATATGATCAATTATGCTGGTAGTTTTCCTAATATTGAACTAGCCCTGCATTCCTAGTATAAATCCTACCTGGTCATAGCATATTATTCTTGTGATAAATTGCTGTAATCTATGTGCTAATGTTTTATTTAAAATGTTTGCATCTAATGAATATTAGGGAAATTGGTCCACAATTTTTTTTCTCTGTTTTGACTCTTCCTGGTTTAGATATCAGCACCATATTTGTATCATAAAAAGAATTTGGTAAGACTCCTTCACCTATTTTCCCAAATAGTCTATATGGTATTGGAATTAATTGTTCTTTAAATGTTTGATAGAATTCACTTATGGGAAAATTTCTTAGAGCTTAGGTTCTGGTTTATATCTAAATCTCCTGGAAGGAATGAGGAGAAAGGAACACAAGAAATAATGTAAATCAGGTACTGGACAGCTATTTATTTCTTCAACATAAAAGAAATGCTTAAGACTGTCCCTGTTTATGCAGGGACAAAAGACTTAAAGAGGACATAGTAATTTATAACTACTGTTTTACTTTCCCAAGAGATTGAGACTTAAATCCATCAAAACATGAAGCATTCTGGGGAATTACTCAATCAACATTTCAACATTCAGCAATTCAATAGAATTGCTCAATCAACATTCACTTCTGCTCTGTAAATTGTCAATCAACTCTCTCCATGTCTATGGCTTCTGACAACCACCTTAGAAAGGGAAATGTCCAAACTGAGTTCCCTTATGTCCTCAGACACCTCCTTAATGAAAGATATTTTTGAAATAACATTAAATAGGTATCTTGAACAAGGAAAATTTCACAATATGATAAAACAGGTTCACAACTCAAGGTAAGGTAAAGTTAACATTTTGCTCCATTAAAACAGAACAATAGTTATTTAAATTTTGGGCACACCCTTAGAGAATCAGTTTTCTAAACCCACCCAAATCCCCTATGACCACTCCCTTCTAAGATTCCTTGCATCACTCCTTATGCAAGGTGTAAAGTAATGATTTTAACTAGACAAAAAGTATTGCTTGTTCCAAAACTGGTTACCACCCTTAATCCATTTTCCTTGGATCCTAGTTTTCTTTCTTGACTTTTTACATACTTTCCTAAAAGAAAGACAATAATCCAGGTTTCTTGAGCTTCTATGTTACACTATTGATTCACATTGAAATTGTGATTTGCTTAAAAAAAAACAGATCTTCTCCTCTATCGCTTGCTTTATACCATTGATTTTTTTAACCTAAGTTTAAGATTTCACATTTATCATCACTAAATTTCATCTCATTAATTTTAGCCCATCATTCCAACCTACTGACACCCTTTTGTGCACCAGTTATGTTATCCGACATGTTAGCCATTTCCCAGCTTTATCATCTACAAATATGAAAAGGTATGCCATTTTTTGTCTTCGTCTAAGTTATTAATAAAAATGTTAAACAGAACAAATTCAGAGAGAAATTCCTTGGGACATGCCACTGGTGATTTTACTCTAAGCTGCTATTCTTTAATCACTGCTTTTTTAGGTATAATCATTCAAACTCTCAGGTAATTGTTTTGACTGCTTTTGCTGTCAAAACAGCTGCTACACCAGAGGGATTAAGACACTGTGCCCTTTTCCTCTCCACTAAAGGAATCCTTTCAGCTTTGGACTCATGCATGCTTAGACTGTCTAGTCCCAGGGGACCCATAATCCACTTGACTGCATGCTCATCTAGCCCATACCTCTCTCTCTCTCTCTTGACCACAAAGCTATCATGAGAAACTTTGTCAAAAGTCTTGGTGATATCCAGGGAGATCATAATATGCCAGTCTAGTATTCTTGTCAAAAAAAAAAAGGAGGAAAGATTATAATTTTTTAAAATGAACTCCTATTGACCCTTAATGATCATTTCCTTTTCTAAATGTTTGTGTAGAAGTTGTTAAATTGAAGTATGCCTCATGGAGTTCTAAGCCCTTGCCCCAACTATTTGAAGGGAAACAGTTCAGTGCTAAAGTGATGGGATGCTTGTGCTTGGACCCCAGCCCTAGGACTATATCTCTCCCCAGTCCAAAGACCCCACCTCTGGCAATAACTTATGAGTGGGCCCCAGTGATGCAAACTATATCTCCCTGTTATAAGAACAAGCTGACCACTATAGAATTTCCCTTGTATGAACAGGACTATTTTGTACCAGCAGAACTATCACATATTGATTCCCACAGTTATCATATACAATCCACAGGTCAAGTTATAGATGTCAATTCCCAAAGCTATCTTGTTACAGATGCAACAACCAAAAGCACACCCCTTAGAAGTGTCCTCCCCCCAGGGTTTCCAGTAGCAAACAATGCTTGTGCCCAAGGTATTAGAGACTGTATGTTCCTTCCCACTCCCTCCTCAGCTAAATAAGATAGTTAGCATACCACTCATTGAACTTTTTTTATATAAACTTTAGAATCACCAACATTAGGTTGCAAATTCCCTAAGGAGCTCTGCCCGCTATATTAGTGTTACAATAAATTTTTTGCCACTTGAATGGAAGACTGTTTGAGTCCATGAATTCTTTCCAGGTGACTCTGACCTGTAGCTGAATAGTTTCAGGGTCCCTGCACCTCTAAATTGCATCATTAATGACACCCAATGTGGGGCAAGTCTGAAGTCTCAAGCTCTCTCCCAGTCAAGGTAAACCTCCCCTCCTTTTTCCCTGTATTCAGGTCACCCCCTCAAGCACCTAGGAAGCCTTGTTAGGGCTCTGAGTTGAGCCTGCCACAAGCTCCGGAAGAATTTCCTCCTGACAAGGGATACCTTGTTTTGGGAACATCTGCAGGTCATTTTCCTCCCTCTCCAGGATGCTGGTCAAGGTAAGTGGCTACAAGAAGCCCCATTGGTTAGCACTTCTAGGGCTATATCCCAAAGAGATCATACTAATGGGAAAAGGAGCCACCTGTACAAAAATATTCATAGCAGCTCTTTTTGTGGTGGCAAAGAATTGGAAACTGAGAGGATGCCCATCAATTGGGGAATGGCTGAGCAAGCTGTGGTATATGAATGTAATGGAATACTATCGTGCTATAAGAAATGATGAGCAGGCTGATTTCAGAAGAAGCTGGAAAGACTTGTATGGGGGCAACTAGGTGGTGCAGTGGATAGAGCACCAGCCCTGAAGTCAGAAGGACCTGAGTTCAAATCTGGCCTCAGACCAAACACTTGACACTTACTAGCTGTGTGACCCTGGGCAAGTCACTTAACCCCAACTGCCTAAAAATTAAAATAAAAAAAGATTTTAAAAAATTCTACATTAAGAGGGGCAGCTAGGTGGCATAGTGGATAAAGCACCAGCCCTGGATTCAGGAGGACCTGAGTTCAAATCCGGTCTCAGACACGTAACACTTATAGCTGTGTGACCCTGGGCAAGTCACTTAACCGCATTGCCTAGCCAAAAAAAAAAAACAACAACAAAAAAGACTTGTATGGTCTGATGCTGAGTGAAGTGAGCAGAACCAAGAGAACGTTGTACACAATAACAGCCGCTTTGTACGATGACTAATATTGATAAACTTAACCCTTCCCAGCAATACAAGGATCTAAGACATCTCCAGAGGCCTCGTGATGGAAAATACTGTCCACATCCAAAGAAAGAACTATGGAAATTGAATTGCTATTTTTTTTCTCCTCTGTTGAGTTTTGTTTACCTACAACATCATTAATGTGAAAATATGTTTGATAGGAATATATATGTACAGCCTATGTCAGATTGTGTGCCATCTTGGGGAGGGAGGTGAGAAGAGAGGGGAAGAAAAATTTTAAAGTCAAAAGCTTATGGAAATAATTGTTGATAATTCAAAATTAATTAATTATTTTTTTTAAAAAAAGAAAAGAAAAAAGATGCCTAATTGGGAAATGGCTGTACAAATTGTGAATGAGGTGGAATATTAACTAAAAGAAATGGCAAAAAAGGAGAGATTCAGGGAAATCTGGGAACAGTTGTATGAATTGATGCCATTTCCAAATGAGCAGAACTAGGAGGCAAATTTGCATAATAGTTACAATAAAATAAAGGAAAAAACAGATGAACCCCTGTAAGATAGAATTGACTGTTTCAGCGCCTTCTGAAGAACAGATGTATTTAAACTTCAGAACTTCCTTAGTGATGGTAGTGTTAAATGCAGGAAATTTGTAGCAAGAACCCAGGGTACCCCTGGCAGGGTATGAGGGGGCTGTAGTGGGAGGTGACTATAAACTTTTCTTTTATATAAGCAAGTTTTTTTAAACACCATGCTGTTTTTTAACGTGTGTAAATATTATTGCCCAACCTCTTGAAATAATAGCGGTCGAATTATTTTTCTAGCAGTGACATTGGATTGGCATTAATTAATTCATACTCTCATCTGGTAACCAATGCCCCTTTAGTTCTATATTTGAGAGATAGCCAGTGATAATTAGAAATCACAAAACTGGAAGGGACTTTTAGAGGTCATCTAGTTCAACTCTCTTGTTTTATAGATGAAGAAACAGAGGCCCATGGAGATTAAGGGATTTGTCCAGAGTCGTTTGTGTAGAAAGTGACAGATTTGGGGAATCCTGGGGCCATTGAATCCCATCCTTGCTCCCTTCTCTGCTTTGTTGAGTTGTTTTTCAATCGTGTACAACTCTTCATGTCCCCATTTGGGGTTTTCTTGGAAAAGATACTGGAGTGGTTTTCCATTTATTCTTCTCTAGCTCATTTTACAGATGAAAAACTGAGGTAAACAGGATTAAGTGACTTGCTCAGGGTCCCACAGCTAATAAATGCTTCAGGCTGGATTTGAACTCACCAAGATGAGTTTCTGACTCTAGGCCCAGCACTCTATCCACTGTACCACCTAACTGCCACAATGAAATTAACTGTATAGGAATAGAAACCTTATGGCCCTGAGCTCATCAGCAGCATGCTTTAACCAACAAAGCTAAACAGTATCAGTCCCCTAACATAATAAGCAAGGTGTTATACTGACACACTGCTAATCCATTCCAAACCTTGAATTTCAGGGCACTACTTAAAAAGTGGAATTGCGGTAGGAAATCATAAAACTGTGTGTGCCTGGGCACATGTCTGCAACATGAAATAGCCCGCAGACAATAAGGTCGTGAAGATAGAGTATAGTTCTGATTATATATTTCATAATGTCTTCTCTGAAGATGGATTTGCTATTTAGGGATACAGAACATGCAGATTATGGGACTTCTACACTGAAACCCATTGAGATTCTCTCTAAGTCCAAGTTTCTCCCTAAATAATAGACAGTCTTGGAAACTACACTAACATTTTTAGGTTGCTGTGGGGTCTTTTGCTAAATATTATGATCTCAGTGCCATGAATAATAGACCAAGGACGGTAGGATGAAAATAGATTCAGGGGCCAGATGGTGGTGGTTATAGTCCTAAACATTCTTCAAATGCTTATTGTTTCTTTTAGTTTCACAGATCAAGAAGAAATGAGGATATCAGAGGATGCTAATATCTATGGGACTATGAATTTATTCTCCTGCATTCCTCTTGTCAAAAAGAGACTCAGACTCCTCTTTGTGTTGCTTTCCGTATCCACAACATAGGAAATAGATCCATCATCTGTGCTTTGTGGTCAAGGAAGCAGCTCCACACACCCTTCTAAGAGATCTACTATGTTAATTCCCCCTGAGGACTGCTTTAACTGCATCCCAGAAATTTTGATGTGTTGTTTCATCATTATTATTTTCTTTTACAAAGTTATTATTTCCATAATTTTTCTTTGACCCATTTATTATTTAAGATTCATTGTTCATTTGTTTGTTTGTTTGGCTAGGCAATGGGGTTAAGTGACTTACACAGGGTCACACAGCTAGTGAGTGTTATGTATCTGAGGTCAGATTTGAACTCAGGTCCTCCTGACTCCAGAGCTGGTGCTCTACCCACTGCACCACCTAGGTGCCCCTAGATTCATTGTTAAATCTCCAATTGACTCTGTATTTTTCATTTGTGGCTCCTGAATCAATGTCTACTCTTATTGAATTGTGGTCTGCAAAGGATGTATTGACTATTTCTGCCTCTTTACACTTGTTTACAATATCTCTGTGCTCCAGTACATAGTCAATTTTTGTAAAAGCTCCATGTGATACCCAGAAATATGTATGTTCTTTTGCTGTCCCATTTAGAAGACATCATAAGTCTTTCAACTCTAGTTTCTCCAGAAATTTGTTCATTTCCAAATTTTCGCTTTTATCTTTCTGTTAGACTTATCCAAAACTGATAGAGGGATATTGAAGTCTCCTGTCACTATTGTGTCACTGTCTATGACTTCTAGAAGTTCAGATAATGTTTTCTTTATGAATTTAGATGTCAAAGTATTTGGGGTATATAAATTGATTACTGATATTGGTTTGTTGTTATGGCTCCTTTCAGCATAATGTAGTTTTTTGTTTATCCCTTTTTATTTTCGAATGTTTGCTTTTGCTTTGTCATGATGGCAACTGCTAGTTTTTTTTTTGGATTCACCTGATGCATATTATATTTTCTCCCATCTTCTCAGTTTTATTTTGTGGATGTCTTTGTTTTTTAAATGTGTTTCTTGTAAGCAGCAGATTGTAAGGTTTTGTTTCCTTATCCAATCTGTCACTCATTTTCATTTTATTGGATTGTTTAATCCATTCACATTTAAAATTATGAGTTAGATTTATATTTTCCTCCATCTGTCTCTAAAATTGTTTTTCACGTTATGATTTTCTCTCTTCTGCTGTAAACATAGCATTATGTTCCTTCAGTTTTTGTAATGACAAAAACTGACAGTTATTCAGTCATGTCTGACTCTTCATGTTACTTTATTTTAATCTTTTGTTAAGGTGACCCTGTTCCCACAGAATCTTTGCCCCTCATACTTAATTCCCTCTTCTTGTTTGTTACTTATTTCTTTTTAGGCTTTTGTTTATTTCCTCTCTCCTGATTTTATCTGGTTATATAAGTCTTCCCCCCATTTTTCCTCTAAGTTAGTCAAGTAGATATCCTCTTCTTCAACTCCCCTCCAGCTAGTCCTATTCATTAGGTTTTTAAAAAATTTTATTTTTAGGCAATTCGGGGTTAAGTGGCTTGTCCAGGGTCACACAGCTAGTATGTGTCAAGTGTTTGGTCTGAGGCCAAATTTGAACTCAGGTCCTCCTGGCTTCAGAGCCAGTGCTGTATCCATTGTGCCACCTAACTGCTCCTCCTATTCATTAGTTTTTAAATTTCATTTTTGTGCCCCTTTACAAAAAGAATTTCTCTTCCTCTCTTCTTTATCCATCTTTTTTCTGTTTACACTAGACTTTCATTCTCCGATTCATAACTCTTGTAGTTATCTGTTCTCTCTTTTTTTTCTGTATTCTTCATGCCAAGGTATCCATTCTAGGGTCTTCCCTCTAGGCGCTTTCTGCCACTGCGCTGTAGGCTTTACCCCACAGATTCCTCTTTTCCATTGTGTCTCATTTGTAGAACAAGGCCGATTATTGCAGTTGTTAGACAGGACTCTCTCCCGTGGTAGGGCCACTCCCCTCTGATGATGCAGTTCACCGGTGACCTATAACCTCTCTTGTTGACCTTTTTTTCTACATTTGCCTGGAAATCACCCTGTGTCTGTGCTCTTCCACTCCTCCAGGTACCAGTTGTCCCTAGGGGTTCCAACTCCCTCCCTCTGAAGATTTTTCAGGCACCAAATCCCCCATGCCCCATGTAGTGTAAAGTTTTCATCTCCCTTCACTCATAAATGCATTTCTCAATGA